GGGCCCGGGGCACCGAGACACGCACGGGTCGGATTCAGAGCCCGCACCGGCAGCAGCGCGGGACCCCGGGATGGGCTGGGTTGAAGGGAGCTTAAACCCCATCCAGCTCCAACCCCTGCCACGGGCAGGGACCCCTTCCGCTGGAGCAGCTTGCTCCAAGCGCCTGTGTCCAACCTGGCCTTGAACACTGCCAGGGATGGGGCAGCCATTTCCCTCCCAGAGCTGTTTCCTGGTACACCCAGACACGGTGACAAGCAGCCAGCAATGAGCTACAGCAGGATGGGGGTCCCTGTGCCCCACATGCCCTCCTCAGCCCCAGGCGGCTCTTTCCACCCCTCCAAAAGGAGCAGCAGACCCAGCACTTGTGGCTCCATCACTGACATGAGCTAACCTGGGCCCCAGCTTCCTCCTGCATGAGCTGGTTCAGGGGCACTGCAGCAGCCATGGGTGCCTGCACCTGGGGAGCTTTATACCAGTGCTGAATGGCATGAAGGAGCTGCAGGGGAATCTTGAAGCCCTTCTTCCTCAGCCATCAATGGGGCCTGGTCCAGCACAGCCTGGGCTATGGGGCAGCCATGGATCAGGGGCTGGGGGGGGGCAGGACCCTGTTCCCAGGCACTGCTGCCCTGGTTCCCTGAGTTTGTGACCTCATCATGGAGCATGTTCTAGAACCACCGGGCAGGGGTGATGTTGGAGGGACAAAGATAAAGACCCTGAGAGAGGCACCTCCCACGGCCGCAGGCTTCACCATGGGAGACAGGTTGGTGTCCACCAAATGCTCACCCTCACACATGGAGAGGAAGATGAGTGCTATGGCTTGCACCATCTTCAATGAACTTCGTCTCGAGGGGAAACTCTGTGATGTGATCATCAGCGTGGATGGGATCGAATTTAATGCCCACAAGAACATCCTCTGCAGCTGCAGCCACTATTTCAGGTTGGTCAGAGCGGATGGGTGGCATTTCCTAGCCTGGGCCGTGCTTCCATCACTAATGAAACATGGATAAAACCACACGGCCTCCCAGCATGGCTACTGCTGGTACCCAAATGGGTGCCCAGGGGATAACGGGCAGGGTTTAACCCAGCAAAGCTGGTTTTGCCTCCAGCACTGCTTGTTTTTTTTCCAGGGCTTTGTTCACCAGCAGCTGGAACAGGGCCGAGAAGACGGTGTACAAAATCCCCGGGATTTCACCCGAAATGATGAGGCTCATTATCGATTACGCCTACACCCGGACCGTTCAGGTCACCATGGAGAACGTGGAAAGCCTGCTCGTCGCCGCAGACCAGCTCAACATCATGGGCATCATTCGGCTGTGCTGCGAGTTCCTAAAGTCCCAGCTCTGCTTTGAGAACTGCATCGGCATCTACAGGCTCACAGAACACTACTACTGCCCCGAGCTGCAGGAAGCAGCCTTCCTGTTCATCCTCCATCACTTCGAGGACATCACCAAGGTCTCTGCAGAGTTCCTCGACCTCTCCGTCAGCGAGCTGGATAACATCATCGAGAAGGACGAGCTCAACGCGAGGGATGAGGATGCCGTGTTCAAGGCTATTGTGAAGTGGATTGACCACGACCCCCCGAACCGGCGGCACCACATCGCCAAGCTGCTGAGCAAGGTTGGTGCTGACGCAGGCTCTGCAGGGCCACAGCCGCTCTGCTTGAAGACCCTGGCGCTGGGCTCCGGGCTGAGCTCCCACGTGCCCGTTTCCTCGCGTTCAGCCAGGAGGGACCAAAGCTCACAAGGGACGTTATCCCTGCACACGCAGAGCCTCTGTCTGTGCACGAGCCACGCAAACAGCAGCAGGCATTAGGGCAGTTTGAGTCTGCGAAGAGGAAAGCCCCGTGCCAAAGCAGCAGCAGGCTCCGTGCCATGAAATCAAGCGATTTACCCTTGCACCCCCCTTTCCAGACTAGCTATAAGCGACACATTGAGTTCTCAGGTTCTGTCACAGCAAAACCATTGAGCGCTGCGGCTCTCCCCCATGGGGATGCCGCCCCTAACCCCCCCTTTCTGTGCTTTCCAGGTTCGTCTGGCGCTGATGCAAGCGGAATTCTTCATGAACGACGTCAAGACGCAGGAGTACGTGGTGGAAAGCGAGGACTGCAAAGGCCTCATCATCAACACGCTGACGGAGATGTACCACCTCAGCATGCACGGGCCCCCTTACATGGACTTCGCCAACCCGCTCAGCCGGCCTCGCCTGCCCTACGCCGTCCTGTTCGCCATCGGGGGCTGGAGCGGGGGCAGCCCCACCAACGCCATGGAGACGTACGACGTGCGGGCGGACAAGTGGATGAACGTGACGAGCGAGCGGGAGAGCCCGGTGGCTTACCACGGCACGGCCTATTTGAAAGGCTTCGTCTACGTCGTGGGCGGCTTCGACAGCGTGGATTACTTCAACAACGTCAGGAGGTTCGACCCCCTGCGGAAGACGTGGCACCAGGTCGCGCCCATGCACTCGCGCCGCTGCTACGTCAGCGTCACCGTCCTCGACGGCTTCATCTACGCCATGGGCGGGTTCGACGGCTACACGCGCCTCAACACGGCCGAGCGCTACGAGCCCGAGACGAACCAGTGGACGCTGATCACCCCCATGCGGGCGCAGAGGAGCGACGCCAGTGCCACCACGCTGCATGGGAAGGTAACGGGCACGTTAGCGGGGAGCGGGTCGGGTTGGGGTGAGCGGAGCGGGATGAGGAACCGAGCACGTGCGCAGCATCACACGCACGGCCTGTCCTTTCACATGGCCCAACAGCGAGCACTTGAGCCAGAGCCCCTTGGTGAGCAGCAGCTCAAGGAGGGGATTCTCCCCCTCTGCTGTGCTCTGGGAGAACCCCCCCTGCAGCCCTGATCCAGCACAAGGGGGATATGGAGCTGCTGGAGTGAGTGCAGAGGAGGCCATGGGGATGCTGCGAGGGCTGGAGCAGCTCTGCTCTGGAGCCAGGCTGAGAGAGCTGGGCTGGGGCAGCCTGGACAAGAGAAGGCTCCTGAAGGGGAGACCTGAGAGCAGCTCCAGTGCCTGAAGGGGCTGCAGGAAAGCTGGAGAGGGGCCTGGGACAAGGGATGTAGGGACAGGCCAAGGGGAATGGCTTGAACCTGCCAGAGGGCCTGCCTCAGGCAGTTGGGGAAACACAGGGTCTAAATCCTGCTGGCCTGAAGAACACACTGTGCTTGTACTCCTTCAAAGCCAGGATGCCAGGACCATTCCCACTGAAAACCAAAGCAACCTCCCCCTAAAAACCCCATCCAGCCACGTCACTCGTTTTCCCTTCACGTCCTCCTACCAGGAGAGCCACTGCCCTGCTCACACTGCGCCTTCCTCCCCTGCTCAGGTGTACATATGCGGTGGGTTCAACGGCAACGAGTGCCTGATCACTGCTGAAGTGTACGACGCCAGCACAGAGCAGTGGACCTTCATAGCGCCCATGAGAAGCAGAAGAAGCGGAGTAGGAGTCATCGCGTACCGGAACGAGGTGTATGCGGTAAGGGAGCCCGGTGTCTCTGTCCTCACAGCCCCCAGCACGTGTAGTGCTCCCCCTTTGCTGATCTGCATCTCCTGGACTTCAGTGCTGGCCTTCTGCTTTAAAGTGAGATGTAGGGAAGGAAGGAATAGAATCATGGAAAGGGTTGGGTTGGAAGGGACCTTAAAGCTCCTCCAGCTCCAACCCCTGCCACTGGAGCAGCTTGCTCCAAGCCCCTGTGTCCAACCTGGCCTTGAACACTGCCAGGGATGGGGCAGCCACAGCTTCTCTGGGCACCCTGTGCCAGCGCCTCAGCACCCTCACAGGGAAGAGCTTCTGCCTTATCTCCAATCTAAACTTCCCCCATTTCAGTCTGAACCCATTGGAGCCTCCTGAGAACATCATCACCTGCACGCTTCTGGTTCTGAGAAATGTACAGACTATTTTTAAGCATCCTGCAGCAAAGCAGTGATTTTTGGCTGCTGCCAACAGGTTCAGCAGCACAGAGGCCTCGCTTGGTCCCATTCACCCCAGCCATACACTGCATTTAAACCCTGTAAAGTGCGAAATCTGACAGTTGCACAAAATACTTTTGGATGTTTCAGGAGGAACAAGGGAGCAGCCTGCAATGATCACACGTTTTGAGATGCCACGCTCTCAGCAATGCTCAACTGAGCTCAGCGAGGCACGGCCACTTCCCCTTGTGCAGGAAGTTCTTCCTTGTGAGGGTGCTGAGGCACTGGAATGGGTTACCCAAAGAAGTGGTGAATGCTCCACCCCTGGCAGTGTTCAAGGCCAGGTTGGACAGAGCCTTGGGCAACATGTGTGAGGTGTCCTTGTCCATGGCAGGGGGCTGGAACTGGATGATTTTAAGGTCCTTTCCACCCCAAACTACTCTGTGATTCTGTAACTCTATGTAATGACCCAGCTGGCCGAGCAGGTGAGGAAGAGCCGGGTTCAGCTCCGTGCCTTTGGCATTCACAGGTAGGAGGATTCGACGGAGTGAACCGGCTCCGCAGCGTGGAAGCGTACAACCCCATCAACAACACGTGGCACGCGGTCCCCCCCATGTTCAACCCTCGCAGCAACTTCGGCATCGAGGTGGTGGACGACTTCTTGTACGTGGTTGGGGGCTTCAACGGCTTTACAACGACTTTCAACGCCGAGTGCTACGATGAAAACGCCAACGAGTGGTACGACATCCAGGACATGAGCATATACCGCAGCGCCCTGAGCTGCTGCGTGGTGCCAGGCCTCTCCAACATCAGGGACTACGTTGCCAAGCGAGACGGCATCGTGGACAACTCTTCAAATGAAGTCAGGTTCACTTCTTCAACCAGCAGCCTGCCTGTATAAACAGCTCCATGCAGTGAATAAAGCCCTCTGAGCAGCAAGTGAATGTATTGACTTCTGTTCTATAACAAATCAATAAAATCATAAAGGCCAAAAGAAGGCCTTTCATTCTATGGCACCACAAAGCGTGCGCATCGGCCCCGGCCTCTGCAGCCACTGAGACAATGAAAGGTACAACAAAGGATGCTAGAGAAATAAAAGGTTTATTTTCATTAATCCACCTCTTACAGTGAACTTTAGTACAGTGTATTCAAGGTAAAGAACGTGACAGTAGGGTTTGTTTCAAACCTAGATGCACACACACTACGTTACCTTACTGGAAGCCAGTACAGGCATGCTCCTCCCCAGGCACTCATGGAAGTCTACATTAACACAGGAGAGCACCGCTGCCGTGATCCACAGTGACACGCACCTATGAGGAGCATCTGACTATTAATGGTCTTCAACCACCTCGTTAGTTCCACACTTTACATTCATGTTAGTAACAGGATTAGATCCTCAAGAGCACCTGTTTTAGCAGACTTCCACTTCAGGACTGACAAGTGGAGATATGATGTATACCCTGCGTAACGTGGACACAGCTGGCAATAAATCTAAGCCATACACCACTTACTTGAAGCTTGCTTTTTTAAGCCCACTGAGAGTTACAATGTACTGTTAACTAGGTTGTGTTAAACAGAACCCAAACAGTTGCAATGCTTTGTGACTCAGTTTGTCAGTACAGAGCAGTGGATTCCCTGACACACAAGTTGAGCCAATAGCTCTCATGTTAACATTGACTGTGATGGAGAAAGATGCTGTTGAAAATAGTACTGCAGAATGCTTGGCATGGCTATTCATAATGCATGCTAAAAAGTTGGCATGTCTTCATTACAAACCCAGCGTACTAACAGAGTATTCAGGTAGTTAGAAAATACTATGTACACACGTGGCACCTAGAAATTACTACACTGACTGCCGAGTGTGAGGCAGGATGTGTCCTACTCCACTGATGCTCTGAGCAGGAAGACAGGACATGAAACATGCATTGTGTGGCACATACTCAGTACAGGTGGAGGAGTGTGATTGTCATGAGGAGGAGGGAAAACTCCTCCCAGTGCTCTTTTACGTTAGTAAAGCCAAAAGTTGGCCTTCCAATACTTACTGCATACACACTAGGATCTTGCTGACATGGAACTGGCCACTATAGACACACTGAAAGAATCTCCAGGCTTCTGCTTCTAGGATCATTTTATTGAGAGCCAGCAAGCTACGGCAGTCAGGGGAGTTGTGAGCCTCACAGGTTAGTGGGCTACAACACAGAGCCAATAATGCAGCTCTTCCAAACACCTACATGTGATACAACGGGTAGTTAGAGTTGTCAGTTAAAACCCATGTGCAATGCAATTGGTCCATTTAAAGTCAAGGTTAAAAGACCCCAAAACAAACCCAATGACTTTAAAAATCCATAGAACCAGCATAGCAAGAGTTTGAGCAAGTGCAGCTGTGCCCCTCACTCACCATGCAGACACAGCACACGGGTACAGTGCATCACGGATGGAATCACGGCTGGCATTCCCGTGCTCTGGATGCTAAAGCTGTTTGGACACTATCTTGGAGTGGAATGTTTTTAGTAAACTATGGAGCCTGTGTGTTAGCCAAAAGTTCTCATGGTAAGTGCAGTATCAGTTTTGCTTAGGAAAAGAATGACTGCAGTAAGTTTGTTCTTGTATTGAATTTGGTCGCATGCTGCCACATGTTAAACTAGTCATCTTCCACCAGAAATAACCTTGGGATTTCTCCCTATATATTGTCCATATTAATTGGCAGACCACAAGAGGGCTTTGACAGAGCTGGGCTGGGCTGATATACACCATCCTACAGCTGCTTGTCAAACCCCTACAGCCAAGTCAGCGGGTAGAGCACAAAACCTCTTCTCCATTTTTTCTGTGCAAAGTCTGGTGAAATATCTTGAAATCAGCTCCCACAAATTAAAGTTAAATCAGTGGATTTAGCTCCAGTTCTTAAACTACTCAAGCCAAACCCACAAGAGCTCATGGGCCAAACTCCACTGAGTAAGCCCTTGCTCACAGGCTGATTTGGTAACAGTCACTTCTGGACATCAGCCTTAAACCTGAGCAAGCATTACCTACTTGTTCTCTTAGGCCAGCATCATACAATTTCATCTGCCCTAACAATCTGACAGGCAAAGAAAATACAACAGAGTTACTACAGGTGAGTAAATTGAGACAAACTGTTAGGATTTTCAACTTCTTTTCTTTTTAAACCAAGGCTAGATTCTTCTCTTACAAAAAGACAAGTTACTGATCTCCAAAGTGGCAACTGCAAAGCAGAGCAGAAAGGGTTGTACACATCAGAGAAACCTTGACACACTGTGTGGTTGAAAGACTTACCCAGTGTTTCAGCTCTGATCTAGGTTGGTGCTGAATTGGGAAATGGGAAGTATCAGCTCAGAAAGCTAAACAGTTAAAACAAAACAAAACAAAAAGCCAAACTGTTTAGAAGTTCTTTTGCAAAGAAGTTGCCCCCATCAAAACCACCAGAAAACCATGCTAAGAACCAAAGACAGTAAATACATTCTCCAACAAGGTTTGTCTAGACAAATTCTGGAACACCCTGCTTACTCCTCCCTTTCCCTTCCCTAAGATCCTGAGTTAGCTGCATGTGAACGCCTGGAACATTCAAACGAAGGGAAGGATGGGGAAGAAATGAAGGGAGGAAGGATGCATTCAATCTGCCAGTAACCTCAACCGTCCTGGAGCTCTTGGGATCAGGGAGGAGGAGTGTTCGGTGGGACAGGAACCGTTTACTCTGAAGGAAATCTTCCATTTCTGTTCCTTAGGAGCCCAGCAGGAAGCGAACCAGAGCCAGTCAGGGCACTGGTTTATGTAAAACCCCCTCAGCACACCGAAAGGTATTGAAATCAGCTTCAATCTTCCCACCACACTAAGTGGGGAAATTCACCTGTTGAGACACTACGGAAACTCAAGTGTCTCGCTTCAAGAGGACACCAAGTATGGATTTGTGATGGACCCTGCAGCACGAGGGACAGGGTACCGAAGGCAAAGAGTTCTGATTGTCACAGACAGGCTGGAAACAGGCTCACGGGGGTTCTTCTAATCACCTTTTCATTAGGCTTAAAAGGTGTGCAACACGCGAGGAAGGATCTACAACCAGCTCCGGTTTCAGGCCGTTACTGTGAAACACCCTCATTCTCACTACTCCACACTGACAGCAGGAACCAGTCCGTGCTGGCGGGTGGTACTTTGGTGGTTTTCACTCCTTTTCTCAGGCTGATGTTGACCCCAGTTCCTAACGAAGCTGTCAAAGACAAAGCATCTTCTTTACTGCCTCAAGTTCTCTGCTCTAGCAAGGGTCTTGTGTTCTACCAACCATCCATTCACAAGCAAACGCTGCAGCCTCTCTACAACAGACAAATACAAAATATTGAATACACATAGAAACATCCTGCAGTAAGTTGGCAAGGAAAGATTGTGCTTTTGTTTTCATATATAGACATAACTATTGCACTTGCCTCCAGCGTGGGAAAGCGAAGTACATGAACACAAACTGCATGTGAAGTTTAGTCACTGAGGAGGAGAGACTCAAAGGAATGTCAATAGATAAGTGCAAATAAAAGAGGAGAGGTGCTTTCAAGCACATACAAATGTAACCACTGAATTATTACAATAAGGATCTTTGATTTTCAAAATGCAACTGCTGGAGCCCAACTCCACAGAAGTCCTTGAAAACAAAGATCCCAAGAGAGAAGTAACAAACATAATGTTCCCAAAGATACCTCACAGCCCGATACAGGCCACGGCTTCTCCCTGGGCACCACTGAGTAATACTGTTGGATTCACATAGCTCCTCAATTCCCATCCATCCTCCATTTCTGAGCTTCTTAATACTCAATACATAGAAGATGCTGGTTTTATGCATCAAACCAAACCAACACCCTCATGTCTTATAAAGACATCTCCAGCCGAACAAGACACCACTTTCTAGGCTCATCAGGAGTGATGCTCCATGAGCTAGCACTCTATCTGCGAGCGGGGGATCCTCCGCAAGCTCAGGGAGTGCCGGTGTATTTCCTGCATCTGCCTTTCCTGCATTTGCCTTATTCTGTCCTTTTGCCACATGAGATTTTGTGGCATAGGGTATCTCTGCGTGCCCTGCAAGCACCTGAAGGGAATCCTCACGTGGCAGGCTGTTGCTCTGCACCGAGGCTGAGGCATAGGAGGCAAAAGCATCCAGCGCTTTCTCTCCGCACAGTAACGGTAGGCCTCCTTCCTGTACTGCTTGTCAATATCATCGCTGTTTTTCCACCCCCCAATGATAAACACATCATCTTTATAATAACAAATAGCTGCTCCTTCAATGCTAAGCACCTCTGGGGGTAAGCTTTCAAGTATTTCATCTGAGGCCCTGCCAGAGATCTTTACCTTGGCCTCCTCATTATCTATAGGGTAACTCTTGGGGCAGCACGATGCTGTGTGGTAAAAGTTCGTGTTAGCCACAGACATCTGAAAAGAGCAATAGTTATCAATGAGAGGCAGGGACTCCACGTCCTGCCACTGCCTCGTGTCAGCATCGTATCTGATAATGACTGCCCTCAGCCCATCTTCACTATCCCTGTCAACCGGGGTTCGAGCAGCGACATAAATGAAACGGTCTTCTACAGAAACAGCTTTGACATCCCGAAGGATCTTGGGGGCTGACTCCAGGTTAAGCCATTTGTCCTGCTCAGGGTTATAAACGGCCACATCTTTAAAGCCAGGGCTGAAATTGCCATGCCCACCGATACTGTACAAGCTGCCTCTCACTTCAGTAAGGCCAAAGGAATGCTTTCTGGTTAGCAGGTTGGAGACTTGCTCCCAGATATTCCTGTTTGGATTGTACCTTTCTACAGTCTTGGCAAACCCTGGTTCCATGGAGCCAGCCACATACACGTACGATTCCGTCACGGCAACCGCGTGCCCATCGAGGTGGTTATGGATGTGGGGTAAGTTTACCCACCTATCTTCATCGATGAAATACCCTACGCACTCACTCAAGTAATCCCCTCCCTCCGACACGCCACCAATGACCATAATGACATCCATGTTCTGCCCAAACCGCGGCAGCAACGCTACAGGACAAGCGGAATGCTGCAAGTTACCAGGCTGCAAGTTCTCGGACCTCAAGGCATGGCTCTCCACGGCTTCAGCCACTAATTTAACACAGGCTTCGTTGCTCGACACCAGCCTTTCCGACTTGACGTGGCGAGTAAGGTAAGTGGGCTTCATCTGGGACAACCTGAGCAGTTTAAAGAGATCCTCAAAGTACCTCTCTCTTTCCTCGGGGCTCTTCTGCACCCACCTCAGCACAGTCTCAAAGAGGACTTCTTCAGAGTCCACCGTGATCTCCGAGTCCGAGAGCCAGTCCCTGACCAGGTGGAAGGGCAGCGTGTAGAACTCCTCGTCCTGGATGACCCTGTAGAAGTTCCTCCTGATCATGTCCTGCGCTTTGAGGGCCAGCTGGTTCAGGGAGTACATGTGCGCCAGGCTGTGAACCGCCACGCAGTTGGAGAGGTTCAGCTTCTTCTTCAGGAACTCCCCGCAGAACTCCTTCAGCCGGGCCAGGAGGAACCTGCGGCACAAACGCACACGGGTGATGCCGGGCCCGGCCCCGCGCCCTGCCCGCTGCCACCCCCCCTCCGGCCCCGCTCACCTGTCCGCCATCTCCAGCACCTCATGCACGTTCCCGGGGCTCACGCGGATGGTGCCGGTGTACATGAACCCGATGACGGCCTCCACCGTGTCGGGGTCGGGGCCGCCCTCCGAGCTCCACTTCTGCAGCTCCACGCGGCCCGAGCGCGACTCGGCGAAGCCGCCCGACAGCAGCGGGGTGAAGTACTCGGTGGCGGCGGCCAGCACGGAGCGGTGCGCCCGGTACTCGCGGGCCGGGCCGGGCCGCCCGCCGCCGAACGCCAGGGTGATGTCGCAGTAGAGGCCGTGGCGGCGCTGCTCGTTCTGCCGCCACGCCAGGTCGGAGCAGTGCGCGGGGCACCCGAACTCCTCCGCCTCGGCCTCCACCTCCCCCCCGCCGCCGGGCCGCGGGGCTCCGCTCTCCGCTACCGCCGGCGGCCCCGGGCCCGGCTGCGGCTGAGGGGAGGCCGCGGCCGCCGCCATCTTGTCCGACATGGCGGGGAGCGAGCACTGCGCCTGCGCTGCGAGCCTGAGCGGCGCGGCACTGCCCCCTGGCGGGTGGGAGGTGTCGCCGCCGCAGGGAAAATGGCGGCGGAGTGGGCGGGAGCGGGGCTTTACCTCAGCGCCGGTCGGAGCCCGGGGCAGGCCGGAGGGGGAGGCACCGGCTCCATCACCCCCTGAGAGCCCCTCAGGAGCGAGCTGAGGTGGTTCTCCCGGTGCAGGACCCGGTGTGACAGCAGCCAGAGCCGGAGGCAGCGCCCAGGCACTGGGAGGAGGGAGGCCCTGGGGCTCCTTCCCACCCTGCACAGGTACCGGGGGCCGGGAGCACGAACACAGGGCTTGGCAGAGCCTGGACGTGGCCTTTCCTTTATTTCTCCTCCTTAAAACCTCCTCCCTCAGGCAAAGCTGCAGGGAAGGGATTTAAGGAGAAATTAACTCCCTCCACCCAAAGGGCACTTGTTGGTGTGGAGCTGATTGCGTGTTTCCTATGCAACGTGTGTATCCCCCCATTCCTCTTAACTAGAACACGGAATTATGGAGTGGTTTGGGTTGGAAAAGACCTCAAGCTCTTCGAGTTCCAACCCCCTGCCACCCAAGGCTCCAGCCTTGAGCACTGCCAGGGATGGGGCAGCCACAGCTTCTCTGGGCACCCTGTGCCAGCGCCTCAGCACCCTCACAGTAAAGAATTCCTTCCTTACATCCAATCGGGATCCCACCTGCTTCAGTCTGAACCCATCACCCCTTGTCCTATCACTACATTCCCTGATGAAGAGCCCCTCTCCAGACACTGGAAGCTGCTCTGAGGTCTCCACACAGCTTCTCTTCTCCAGGCTGAACAGCCCCAAGGTTCCCAGCCTGGCTCCATACAGGAGCTGCTCAGCCCCTGCTCATCCTTGTGGCCTCCTCCGGACTTGTTCCAGAGGACACCAGACCTGCACCCAGGGCTGCAAGGGGGATATCATGAGCAGAGTAGAGGGGCAAGATCAGCTCCTTGGCCCTGCTGTCACACTCCTTTTGATGCAGCCCAGGACACGGTTGGTTGCTGTCTGGGTCACATTCAGCTTCTCATAGACCAACAGCCCCAAGTCCTTCTCCTCAGGCTACTCTGAATCCCTTCTCTGCCCAACCTGGAGCTGGGCCTGGGACTGCCCCACCCCTGAGGAAAGAACTGGTTGGAGGTAGTGACCATTTCCCCCTATCTAAACCCCAATTTCTAGGAGCCAGAAGAAGAGTAACGGAGTAATGTATCATTTATTTGAGTTGGGTTACAATACACAGACGTTATCACGGAGATGAGCTGGGATCTGCAGCTCCCATGAGTGACAGTCCCATCTACCAGCGCTCGTGTAGTACAGGAGAAGCTGTTTGCATAAATACAGACACCGGCACACAGGGAGGTTCACAGTTTTAACAGCGGTTATGTTACAACTTTACACTTTAAATTACTACACCCGAGGTCGAGTAACATTGATTACACATCAGCGGTGGTCCCACGAGGCAGGGTACAGAGAGACTGAAGATGAGAACACAGTAAAGGGTGGAAGAACAGCCAAGAACAAAAAGAGGCCAAAGTCAGGGCTGAGGGGAAGGGTGGGAACCTTCCCCTCCATCAGGAACAGTCACAGCTGGGTACCACACTAATGGATCTGCCTAAGAGCAAACTCCCCCTCACCACATCCCTTAAAGTCTTCTCTGGAGATTAATGAAACAGGAAGAAAAGGGTGAGAGACAGTATTAAATACAGCAGGTAAGATGGCATATCACAACTTTTGGTTTTTATTAGAGTAAGGTTCTAGTTAGAAAACAGTTGCTTTGCACAGCTGGACCAGGCAGCTCAATGTCTATGTACCAGTGGCCTTCAGCCAGCAAAGTCCCATCTGTGGCTGACCTCTGTGCAGGCTGCTGTGGTCTTCAAGTGCCATTCTGAGGCAGGAGTACAGGCTCTCACATGGTCATGTGCTCGGGTAGAACATAGGATATGTCATCCCATGGGTGACGGTACAGACCCTGCTTCAGTCGCTTCTGATCCAGGTAGTGTCCTAAACCAGAAGCAGTTTGGGTTATAACGGTGCTGTTGCTCCTCCTTGTCTTATTTTGCCTGGAAACAGCTTTGGTTCCTGGCTTCCTACAAGGAGCATTGGGCATCCCTCACTAAGATGGAAGGGGTGGGAAAGTGGCAAACTTACCAATGAATCCCATGCTCCTGCCTAGTACAAAGATGCCATTAAGAGCTCCTATATCAATATATTCATCTGCTTCTTCCCTGCAAAAGAGAAGGAATTCAATAGCTCCTCACAACGATCTAGTTAAGGAATCAATTAGCAAGGCTATGAGTCTCCTCTAGAGGCAGTAGCAACACTGAGTTCATGTGGAAGCTTCCTTCCCAAGTCCAGGTTATGTTCCCTTCGCAATGTCCCAAAACCCTGGCCCCACGTGAGCTGGCAGGACAGTTCCCATCGTTTTTATAGGGCCGTGATCCAAGAGAAACAGCCCCCACCAGACTTACCTTGTGAAAGAGCCACAATTCCTGAGTACATCAACAAAGGCAACTCCAATAAAGCCATCTACATTCAGAATAAGGTTTGGTTTCTGCAGGAAATGAGAACACAGCCCAACAAAGATGTTAACAGTGGTGGAGGATGATCACCAGGCAACTTTCATCCTCAAGGGCAATTTGGGGGTTGTGGACACAGAAGCCTCGTGATAGACGAGGCCATACTTAATGTGAGCAATGGAAAACCAGCCCCGAACAATGGGCCTGTGTTTTCAGGGATCAACCACAGGGATGATCTGCCCCAGCCCATCACACGTGCTACTTCTGCCTCAGCTTTAAAGGCAGCCCTTCCAGTGTGGACAACACCAGGAATGGGTTCTGGTTTAATTCAGTGTTTTCCTGCTGTCCCAACAAATGCCTTCAGCCTTACCAAGCTGTAGTTGCACTTGGCCTCAAGTCTACCATAGAACAACCACCATCTGGGACACTGCAATTGAAATGCAGTATTTCCTGGAGGAAGAGGGCTCGGGGAGGAAAGCAGTAGCACATTTCACCTTGGAAGTTGTAATCTTCTCTACTTCAAGCGCGTAGTCCAGCAGCGGGGTGGCCGGGAAGTGCTGCTTCACGTAGTCTTTGAGAATCTGAACTCTCATGTCTGGGTTATTTATCTGCAGGTTAAACACACATGACAGTCACTCACGTTGCCTCTCACCCATGTACTTGCCATAAGCTTTGCTGTTTATAGCTTGAAGAGAATTTGGTCAATAGATGCCTCAAAAATTGCTGATTTTCTTTCCTCTGTTTCTTCTCTCCCCCACCCTTCCACTAAAACCCCCTCCAGCTTGTAAGGATGCACTTCTCTTACTGATTTGACTCTGTGTCCAATGCCCATGATCAGTTTCCCTTCTTTCTTCATCTTATTCACAAACTCCATAGGGATAATGCCACTGTCGAAGGCTTTGCTGAACATTTTAGCTGCAGCATCCAGTGCTCCACCAAACCGGTCACCCTGGGGGCAACACACAAAGGGAATTACCGCAAAGGACTCCCCAGTTAAGGAACAAAACAAACACAGGCTTATCTTCCCCATCTGCCCTGCCTATCGCTGTGGCACGCACAACATTCCCATTAGGCAGGCAGCTGAGATAAAGCATCTGTTTATAACTCAAGTGCCAACATGCAGCCAACACATCTCCACTAGAGACAAGTGTGGGGGAAAGGCAAGCTCCAGTTTTGCTTCACATTTTCACTTGTCAGTCTTGGAAGAGACTCAGCAACCACACAGGGACCACGCTGGAAACAGTTTGGCCTCTACAGAACATTTCTAGTGACAGACATTCAAGTGACAGACATCAAAATAGCTTGCTTACTAGGAAAATGGGCTAGAAGTCAACAGAAACTCAAAGTGTAAGTGAATAGACACTGCCTGGCCATGGCTCTGCACTATTCTTAAATTAACAGTAATAAAAGCTAAGTGGAATAGTAAGTAATGATGCTCATGTGCTGGGCATTAGGCACTTACGATAGTAAGAAGGCCTGAAGTGAGACTTGAGACAAGATCCTTTCCAGCTCTTGCACAGACGATGGTGTTGTGGGCTCCAGACACAGCAGGGCCGTGGTCTGCTGTTACCATCAGGCACATCTCAATGAACTGGCAGGCATACCTGGGTAACCTGAGCAAGAGAGGGACTGGGGTCATTTACTGTGAAGAAAACCAAGTAACAAGACACTTGGTGTTACTGGACAGTGGCTTTTGGTATAGGTGTATGCTTGAAAGAAACAGCAGAGAAAAGGAGCTGCAGAGTCTCAACACCCATCAGCCTTGAGATGCTGACGTGGTGACAGAAGAGGGAACAGAGATGGCATTTCTAGTGATCCTATATCCACAAAGGAATCCTTGAGTTACAGTTTTTGCTTACAAGTCTAATAACACCCAAAAAAACCTTGAAGCCAAAGGATGCAAGAACTTTCCCACAAGCTGCCTCACCTCCTCTGAAACCAGAGCAGGCCCAGCACCCCTCCAATGCCCATCTCTTCTTTGAAGACCTCAGTGATCGGCATCCCAGCATAGATCAGTTCCTGGCCTCTCTCGTCACAGATGCTTGTCATGAAGGAAGCTGGTTTGCGAATCAGACCCAGCTCCTGGAATTACAGCATAAAGATGGGATTTTAAACAAGCCCCATTAGGAGCAAGGGGCAGGAGGAGGCAGAGTGGTCAAACAACAGCACCTCGAGCTTGCCCTCAGAGCAGCTTCCACAGCCCAGAACCAGTGTAAGTCACTGAGCTCACAAATAACACTATGAAGTGTGAGAAATAACCCCAAGGCAGCACCATTACTGCCATGAGCATCCAGAATCACAGCAAACAGCCTGTTGGTTTCTAAGGAACCAAAAAGCAGGTAAAACCACACAGCTCACCCTTGCCCAGGAGTAGTCCATTGGCACAGTTGGAGGAGGCACTTCCTCAGCTGGTTCAATCACTCTTTTGGCCACAAGATCCTGGTAGACAGACCTAGGGAAAGAATCCTGGTATTCAGT